ACATATACATATGTTGCCATATCTCTTGCCTCTTGCGTCTCCTTCCCTCCCACCCTCCCTATCCCGCCCCTCTAGGTGGGTCACAAAGCACCGAGCTGATCTCCCTGTGCTATGCGGCTGCTTCCCACTAGCTAGCTATTTTACGTTTGGTAGTGTATATATGTCCATGCTACTCTCTCACTTTGTCACAGCTTACCCTTCCCCCTCCCCATATCCTCAAGTCCATTCTCTAGTAGGTCTGTGTCTTTATTCCTGTCGTACCCCTAGGTTCTTCATGCCCTTTTTTTTTTTCCTTAGATTCCATATATATGTGTTAGCATACAATATTTGTTTTTCTCTTTCTGACTTCACTCTGTATGACAGACTCTAGGTCCATCGATCTCACTACAAATAACTCAATTTCGTTTATTTTTATGGCTGAGTAATATTCCATTGTATATATGTGCCACATCTTTATCCATTCATCTGTCAATGGACACTTAGGTTGCTTCCATGTCCTGGCTATGGTAAATAGAGCTGCAATGAACATTTTGGTACATGACTCTTTTTGAATTATGGTCTTCTCAGGGTATATGCCCAGTAGTGGGATTGCTGGGTCATATGGTAGCTCTATTTGTAGTTTTTTAAGGAACCTCCATACTGTTCTCCATAGTGGCTGTATCAATTTACATTCCCACCAGCAGTGCAAGAGTGTCCCTTATACTTTGTTTTGATAGATCTTTATTGGAGTATAATTGCTTCACAATACTGTGTTAGCTTCTGTTGCACAACAAAGCGAATCGGCCACATACACGTGTCCCCATATCCCCTCCCTCTTGAGCCTCCCTCTCATCCTCCCTATCCCACCCCTCTAGGTCATCGCACAGCACCTAGCCGATTTTCCTGTGCTATGCTGCTGCTTCCCACCAACCAACTGTTCTACATTCGGTAGTGTATATATGTCGATGCTACTCTCACTTCGCCCCAGCTTAGCCCTCCCACCCCGTGTCCTCAAGTCCATTCTCTACATCTACCTCTTTATTCCTGCCCTGCAACTAGGTTCATCAGTACCATTTTTTTTTTGATTCGCATTTCCTTATGGCTAATGATGCTGAGTATCTTTTCATATGCTCATCTTCTATCTTCTTTGTCAAATTTTACATTGATTTATTTGTCTTTATTGAGTTATACTAGTTCTGTTTATATTTTAGATACAAGTCAGTTATCAGATATATGTTTTGCCCAACTCCCATTCTCTGAGTTGTCTTTTCTGTTTCTTGGTGGTGTCGTTTGAAGCACAAAGATTTTAGTTTTGATGAAGTTTAATTTATCTATTTTTTTGTTTTATCACTTGTACTTTTGGTGTCATATCTAAGAAAGCATTGCCTGTGGTTATGAAGATTTACCATGGTTTGTTCCAGGAGGTTAATATATTAGCTTTAGTCTTTGATTCATTTCGACTTTGTATGTAGTGTGAGGCCAGGGTTCAGTTTCATTCGTTTGCATGCGGATATCAGTTGACTTATCATCATTCGCTGAAAGGATTATTCTTTCCCCATTGACTTGTCTTGGTAGCGTTGTTGAAAGCCAATTGACCATAAATGCAGACATCTGTTTTTTCGAAAAAGGTCTGAAATCTTTTGAGTTGTCTTTTCCAAGAAAAATAAGGCAGGGTGTTACAGAGAGTAGTTAAATCCTTTGTTTTTCAAAATGAGTTCAGGTCTTCTCCCCACTAGGACCAACATTCTGGGAGGATGCCATGTAAAATTGCATCAGTCTCAAGAATCTTTTAGTTATAGAATCATCTTCATGTAGCATGCTTTTTGTGGATTTTACCTTTATTTAAATTTGGAAACCTGATATTTTAAAATATCCAGCTCTCTTTTACTTTGTTCACAAACATTGTAACCTTGTTAGAATTAGTCCCAGTATTATAGAGGTTTGGGTTGTGTTTTTTTTGTTGTTTTTTGTTTCTTTTTTCTTCACTTGTTTTCAGAGTTTAGCTGGAGGCAATGGTTAATCTTTAAAGGAGTCATGCTTATAAAGTTGGGATAGTGCTGAGAGGCTGATGGTCTGCTGATTCCAGCTGTAAAATGTTTTTTGGAGAGCAGAAAAACAATTTGCTTTCATTCCAATACACTATAATTCTTGAGATCCACTAGCTTTCTAAAAACATTGACTCAAAAAGTGAAATGGAGAATTGTAAACTACATCTTTTCTTAGTATTCTTTAGTATTTGGAAGGCAGGTATACTTATATATTATTAGGATCTGTTGAGGCAAAATAGTTATCGGAGTTGGTTGAGTTAGATTATGTTGACTTTAAAGTTCAGGAGATTAGCTGCCTCTAATGTAATGCCACAATTCACAGGTATTTATTTCTGTTTTTTATTTGGTTATTTTTTTCATGACATTTTAAAAGGGGAAATTTTCTTATAGACAGTGTTTATGCTCATTTCTCCAGTTCTGAAAGTATATATGGTCTATGTATATACACTTATATAAAAGTACATTTTGGTGTGAAAAAAGTACATTTAGGTGTGGGTGTCATAATGAAATCTATTATGTAAATACTGTGTGATATATACATTAGAGTGTGTTGTCTTTGTATTATATTAGTGGACCTTTTTTTCTATGTATATGTCCATAATATGTGTCCATAATATGCCTTCAGTGATTATAGTAACATCACAGTTACCCAGAAGCTGATTTTCCAGAAATCCAAACATTCCAAACACACCACTTTAAACCCTGAAATACAAAAAAAGTTTTTAAACAATGAGTGAAACATTAGAAAACTTACATCTTATATTTTGTATGACATATGGATTTTCTCTTAGGATTATTATCTTCATCTTCTTTAAAAATGAACACTCAGGGAATTCCCTGGTGGTCTAGTGGTTAGGACTCCGTGCCGAGGGCCCGGGTTCAGTCCCTGGTCAGGGAACCAAGATCCCACAGGTTGCTCGGTGTGGCGAAAAAAAAAAGAAAAAAGAAAACTCAAAGTAGATGGAGTTGAAGGAGCTGAAATGAAAACTAGCAGTAACAAAAGCAACAGCGACTTGCGCTTCTCTAGTGGCTGTGAACACAACGGCATTACTATTTCAGAATCACCACGATTGCTACTCAAAGGCTTTCTGAATTCAGGCAAGCATGTATGTACAATTAAGGAAGATTTCTATTAAAAAATGGCTTTAAAATGAACACAAAAAGCCTAACCTAAAGAATAGGCAAGCACAATATTTGAAAAATATCTGAAAATTTTTCTTCTGTAGATGACTTTTTTTTTTGCAAGTGTGTCTTATACATATGCTTTGATTAATTTAGGTGCATTGTTTAATTTATTCAAACATTTATTAAGCTATTTTTCAGGTATTATTCTAAGCAGTATAGATTTAACTGTGAACAAAAGACACAAACACGACCTTAATCAAGTGGGAGGAAGACAGAAAATAAAGAAGCAAAAAGATAAATATATTACAGAACATATAATTTTTTTTTATTTTTTATTTATTTTATTCATTTATTTATTTTTGCGGTACGCGGGCCTCTCACTGTTGTGGCCTCTCCCGGACGTGCAGGCTCAGCGACCATGGCTTACGGGCCTAGCCACTCCGCGGCATGTGGGATCTTCCCGGACCAGGGCTCGAACCTGTGTCCCCTGCATCGGCAGGCGGACACTCAACCACTGCGCCACCAGGGAAGCCTATTTTTATTTTTGACAGTACTTGTCAAAGTAGTTATTCATTCATTGATAACTCTATTCCTGTTAGGATCAGCACTAGACTGAGACTTTCTGCTGGGTAAGGTATTTTCAGGTGTGCTGTTCATGCTATTCAGATTAGCTATTTTTTCCTGGTACGCTCATGTGTTTCATGCAGTTTGGCTGTTTTTCTTTGTTTGTATTGTTTTGTTTTTTTGTCATGGGAAGAAAAGGTTATTTTTATAAAAACCTGTCTCGTATAAGTTTAGATTCCAAATTGAGACCTAAACTATGAAATAGATAACCTCAGTTTGATCCGCTAGTGTACATTTTAGGGAAAAACATTTGTGAAAATATTAACCAGATACTTGTGGAATGATAAACAAGGAATTCTGTAGGTTAGGCTTTTTGTGTTCTTTGATTCTGCAGTCTCCTTTGAGTAGTCCCTTAAAAGCAGTTTTGTGAAACCCTATAATATTATTTTGTGTAGCTGACAGATGAGGACATTATACTCAGAGACCTTATTGGTATAGTCAGAAGGGGAGATGAGACCCTCACGGATGACAGATATCACTTACTTGACTGAATTGTGTTGTGTCTTGTTTAGTGGAGTTCGGGAAGATGGCATTGGTGTTTCCATGGTGTTGGTGACCACTGTCAGGAATGTGTGATTTTTTTTTTGAAATTGGAGAACCACAAAATAATCCTACCTACTAGATTGTTTTTGGCTGGGCTGAAAGTAAGAAGAATGAAATTGAATGCTTAATGTAAATGCATAGGATTATGTAAATTAGTTCCCCAACATCTCCTGATGCACCCTTTGTGGATTACTTCTCCCCATTAGCTCCACACCTAAGTTACTTGTTCTACCCTGCCCCTGTTATTGTCATTTTATTTTAGGGTTATGTCTTTCTTATCTTTGCCCTTAAATTCCTGAGCCAATTGTATCCTTTCTCTTTCTTCTCTAAACAGTTTTGCTAGACTTATGAAATTGTAGGCTTATGATTTTTAAATGATTCTTCTTGGCTTCTCTCTCTTGTTCCAGGAATAACTGTATAAAATGCCCAATTTTTGCGAAAAGTGAATACCAGTTCTTCCCAGATTTATTTCTTATTGGAACAGAGTCAAAACCCAAAGGAAACTGTAGAGGAGAAAAAAATGAACCTCTTTTAGCTATTAAAATAATGACTAGGTTATGGGAATTTTATGTGAGACTTGAAAAAATAAAAGCATTTGATTATTCTGTTTTTATGGCATCAAAATATGATGCACCAACGGAAATTATTAAATTTCTTACATTGCCATTTGAAAATTTTCAGGCTGCTACCCTTGTCCCGGGCCCAACATGAATCCTATTGCTCTTGGGAGCCGCTGGCTTGCTTATGCAGAAAACAAGGTAAGCAGGGCCGTGTTGGAATGTTTGTAATGGAGCAAGTGTTGAAGAGTTTTCCAAAGGTAATTAACAACCAATAATGAATGTTTAACTTACTAGTTTGTTTTCTCTGGTTTGGTTTTTGTTTTAATTGGGCACCCAGTTGTCTGATCTTATTGCTCAGGATCAATATTTGGACTCAGCCTTACTTTTCCAGGCTTAGTTTTATATAGAGAACTTTACTCCATTAATTTTAAATCACAGCATTGATATCATCACAGGAGTTTCTGTGGAGCTAGAAATCAGGAGGCAGGAATGACTTCTGTCTTTAGTAGTAGGTTGGGAACCTGAGGCATAGAATAATTTAATGGACTTCAACTGTATGTGTACATTTAAATCTAAACAAGCGTTCTGCCATTTGTTGTTATTTATCAATCTCACTTATCTCTTAAGGTCATCATAGTAAGTGAAGATATTATATTTATACATTGAAACTTTTTTTATGTCTAGTTCAAAGCAAAGGGCAAATCCCTTTTTATGCCATTTAGTGCCCTGCATATGAATATAGAACGAAACCTAAAAAAATATTACAGACTTCAAAGAAGATCATTTTTTTGTTCCCTTTTTGCTTGTTTGTATGGTTACTGTATATTGAGAATAATATGAAATAATATGTATTGAAGAGTTCTTGACACAAGTCTGGATATGGTAAGTACAACAATTATTTGGTGAAACCACAGTATATCTCTAGCCTCTGGAATTCACAAAATCAAGAAACTACTGGAGGAATTTATTTTTCTGGATGAATCCCTTGATGCTTTTTCCAGAATTCTGTCTGCTACATATAGGTATTTTGCATTTTAGTGAATGCTGTATTTATACTCTACCCTCTTCTTTCTCTGGATTATCCAGTATATCCCTTTTCAAATTCATTCTTTTCAAATAAGACAAGAGGCATACAATTCAGTGTGCTGACATCATGGTATCTTCTAATGATTATGTCTGTAGGAAATTTCTTTGAGTGCCGGAGACATCCAAGACTTCCAAGAGGAAGATATATACATTGTCCCTTGGCTCTTGCAGATTTATTGTGATGTGTGGGAAACTACTCATTTGGGATTGTAGGTATTATGCAAAGAGTTACATATTATTTTCTTATGGAAAAAACTTCCTTCATAGATGCATAGCATCAAAGTGTGCCAGTTGTCCTGCCTTTGTCTTGCCTTTGCCTTTGTAGAGATACGTGTCAGTAATATCTAGTGTTATATACGGAGACCAGGACGTGTAGTGGCATTCACAAGGAGTTTACTAATCAGATGGTTGTACCATCCTTTGGAAGAAATATTTCCAGATAAATGTGTTTCCATGGTATTTACATAAGAGCTAGTATTTGTTAACAGTTTCTGATTGTAGTAGCATTTGGGCGGAGTGTGGAACTGCAGAAATTAAATTTTGGAGCAACAGTTTCTTTCAGTGAAAATGCTCTTTGACTACAGTTTTAACCAAGAGGCCATATTATCTTGATTGTGTTTGTTTTTCAGTGCCTATTTTTAAGTGTACTTTTAACTTGGAAGACTTGCAGAAAACCTGCAAGAATTAATAGAGTACAAATGTTATAAAGTACACCCATGTACTCTTTACTTAGGTTGACCTCTGAACAATCTCAGAGTAAGTTGCATATATCACATTACCCCAGAATACTTAAGTTATCAGCCAATTTAATTTTTAAAAAATTTATTTATTTTTGGCTGCGTTGGGTCTTCGTTGCTGCGTGCGGGCTTTCTCTAGTTGTGAGCAGGGACTACTCTTCGTTGTGGTGCGTGGGCTTCTCATTGCAGTGGCTTCTCTTGTTGCAGAGCACAGGCTCTAGGCACGTGGACTTCAGTAGTTGTGGCATGTGGGCTCAGTAGTTGTGGCTCGCGGGCTCTAAAGCACAGGCTCAGTAGTTGTGGTGCATGGACGTAGTTGCTCCACAGCATGTGGGGTCTTCCCGGACCAGGGCTTGAACCTGTGTCCCCTGCATTGGCAGGTGGATTCTTAACCACTGTGCCACCAGGGAAGTCTGCCAATTTAATATTGATAAGCTACTTTTATCTATTATAGCATCCACGTTCCAATTTTGTCAATTAACCCTATCATATCATTTGTAGAAAATTTTTTCCTATAGTGCAGATCCAGTCTAGGATCAGGTATTATATCTTGTAAGAGTGTCCCTTCTTTTTTTATCTTTTACAGGATTGGTAATTTTGAAGACTGCAGCCCCCTACATCTACCCCTTATTCTTTTTAGTAGAATGCTTTTTATTTTCAGTGTTTTGATGTTTTCTCTTGATTATATTCGGGTTATGTATTTCTGTCTGGAATACTATAGTATTGTATGAGTGCTGTTCTGGACTTCCCACGGCGTCACATCTGGAGGCACATGGTATATGTCCGTCCTTTATTGGTGATGCTAATTTTGTCAAGGTCTTGTCCAGTTTCTGTACTGAATAAGTACTGTTTTTTCCTCTTGTAACTAATAATGTGGAAAGAGCATGCTTATATCCTGCATTTTATCAAAATCTTAGCCTACCTAATTTTAGCATCCATTGATGATTCCTGCCTGAACCAGTCTTTACTATGAGGATTGCAAATTAATGGTTTTCCACTTCCCACTACACATTTACCTGTAGGCATTTGGCTTTCTATCATAATCAAGAACTTTCCCTTCTTTTTAAATCTTCCTGTATCTATATTTTTGATAGGGGTTAATGATTCCTATTTTTTAAGTAGTTTTTAATTTTTTTCTGTCTTTAATTATTTTGGTTTTCAAATTATGCCAGAGTTGACCAATGAGAGCCCCTTTAGTCTGCTTCTTGTGACATTGTGTTGTGGCTTCATCAAAATTAAAAAAAAATAATTTCCTTACTTGCTATCATAAGAATAAGTCCAGGTCCATCTTGTACTTGCCTTGTCTCAGCCCTGGAATCATCTTCTTCTGATTTTACTGTTTCTTTTTAATGGGCAATGGTATTAGATACTAAGCTGTTGTCCAGTAGATGTGTTCATTGTTACTGGCGTATTTTTGCTTCTAGACTCTTTCAGTGGACAAAGTTTAGAAATATGCATGTTATATATCCACACACACTTATTATACACATAAAGAGGCAAATATACATATATGCATATTTGTGCACCCATGTATACCCATATACACATGTACATTTTGGAAATGAAGAGGTCATATTGGTATTTCCACAGGATTCTCTCTTTTTGTCCCCCGTTTCCTATTTGTATGTCCTTTGTTTTGGATAGGAGACCATGACATCAGCACGTTTTCTTCATTTCTTCAATCCTATAATGCCAAAAAGTAATTACAGAGTTGCTTGCTCATACCACTGCAAAAATCAAACCAACTACAAAGAGTTCAGGATTTTCTTGCAATTTTCTCTGCTTTCATTACTGCCTAAAATGGAAGGTATGCAATCAAATACTGTGTTCATAGGTTATTTTAGTTAGTTTGTCCTTTATCCCCCTTTTTCTGCCTTCCTTCATTGTTACAGTTTTCATTTGATACATAATTGTATACATTTGTCTTTATATTTATTTATATGCGTATATATTTTCTCATATGTTATATAGATATATTTATATTTCCCTTTATTTCCCCAAAGATAACATCATATACATGGTCTTTTATACGTCGCTTTTTTCACTTACCATTATTTCCTGGGATTTGGGCATGATAGATTTTTGCACTACGGAAATTTCTGGTTTATCTTTTATTTTGATGTACTGAGATGCAAATATAACTTTTGTAATGAGTCTAAGTTTTAAAGAAATTTCTGGCTTAGTTATGTTTATGTAGAAATGCTGACTCAGATTTAGATGAATTGAAAAGATGATAGTATTGCTTGTTTTCCTTGGTTATTTTAATTACCTGAAGCAGGGAAAAGATAGTGTTTCTAGGATATGTCTTCCCTTGCACATGCTTCAGAAGGCAGCAGAGGGGATAATTTTCATAATTCTTCAAATGTGTATTTGTGAATGAATGAATGAGTGACTGGGTGAGTAAGTGAGAGAGATTCTTTTTATTAGCTAAAATGATCACTTTTCAAGCTCCCTCTTTTCCCGTGTGAAACCACATTTGCCAGTCACCTGCGATTTGGAAAATTCCACAGCACTATTGTCTTAAGGGATTTTTTTTTTAAATACAAATCAGTGATGAAGAAAAGTTTGATTTTATAATAAAAGAATAAAAGTTTCACATATTAATCTTTATCAAGTGACCTGGTTTTAAATTATATAGAACATTTTTTTTGTTTTTATATTTTGGGAGAGGAAGATTTGTTCTGAATTCATATTCATATCACAATGTGGAGCTGTTCTAATAGTCTACTATTGCCGTTTTATTGAAAATTTTAAGTGTAAAAATCTGGCTAATGATTTTTTTATTTCCCTTTCGTTCTTTCTCTTTCTTCTTTTCTTTCTTTTTCTTTCTGTTTTTTCTTTACATTTAGAAGCGTAGGAGCGGTGGAGAATTTAGTCTTGGTTAATTGCTCAGCACATGAGAGAATCATGCATGTCAAACTACTGATTCACTTTGGAAATTGACAGTTTGATTTACTTATTTATGAATAAGGGCATGTCTTTTTCATTCTAATGTTAAAACTGGTGAGCCCTCTGAAGTGGACAGCTATTATGTGTCATAGTTGATTTATGCATAATTTGTGCCACTTCCCCACAAACAATTGAAAATGGAAATACGGCACATTCTTTTGTCTGTTTTTTAAAGTTTCCTTTTACAATCTTTATGTAGGAATTAAGAGGACAAAACCTCCAGTTTGTTAGCATGTTAAATATTTAATGTTAGGAAGTCATGGCTAAGTCCTTTGATTATGTTTCTAAAATTTATTTGTGGAAAGCCTGCCAGATCTCAAATCCTACCATTTCAGAGTTTATGAATTCTTAAAGACTATTCATCTTGTAATTAAAAATCGTATTTGAGCATGAAACTGCTTGAGTGGCACCAGTAGATTATAAAAAGGGGTAAAAGTGTCTCAGCAGGGCTTTTAGCTGTTTGTCTGGAAAACACTCATGCAAACATTCCCACCCACCACCATCATTCTGCATGGTAAATAAGCTCTATCTTAAGAGCCTGTAGAGTTAAACAGTTTAATAGAAATAACTTTCTGGTCATTCTCTCTCTTTCCAGTTGATTCGATGTCATCAGTCCCGTGGTGGAGCCTGTGGAGACAACATTCAGTCTTACACTGCCACAGTCATTAGTGCTGCTAAAGTAAGTATCCAGTAGTCTCTAGGAGGTACGATTTTGTGGAGTAATTATCACGTTCCCTTTTCATTTGCAAAGGTCGAACAAACTTAAGTAAGTCAGAATTATTTTGTCACTCAAGAGAACTGGTGACTTAAAATGATTAGGTATTTAATCTCTTAAGTTTCCTAAATCATACTTTATATTCTATTGTAATGATTATAAAGTTTGTATTTATCCAATTTAAAATATTTAAGTCTGTTAGCTAGGTCAAAGTCTGTAATCTAATTACTTTGGAAAGAAGCTTTACATGTTTTAAGTAGTAACTTCTGGATTTGTGTGTGTGTGCGTGTGTGTGTGTGTGTGTGTGTGTGTGTGTGTGTGTGTGATTTGCATCATTCTACCTATACTGACATCCCTTTGCATTTTTGAACATTTATGAATCTTCTTGACATAAAAAAAAATATTATTCCTTAACAAAACTTTGAGCGAAATCCCTGGCGCATTCAAAGATCCTTTCATGTCACAGAGCTGCCCCCTGCATGTTTGTCAAGTGAGTTCTTTTTGTGTATGTGCGAGGGTTAATTATGATGATGGCTCGTAAACTTTATGCTGATTATAAGGTATCCTTATAATCACCATCCTTTTGAATTGTGAAGTATACAACAAAACAATTCTAATAATAGGGATGACATAGTGAATCTAAATGACAGCATGTAATAGAAAGCACAACTATTCAGAAAAGAACAACAGTTTAAAACAAACCACAGGGAGGGAATCAAAGGTCACACTGTTTTATGTAAAACAAATACAAAAATACTTCAAGACTGATCACAAATGCTTACATGATGTGGTTTGATGAGAGAAGCATTACATATTTTTCACTCAAAGGGAATTATTGAATGGCTTTTTGCTTACAGCCCCATATATTTTAGATTTCAGAATCTTTATAAGAATGGTTTACTTTTCTCCTCTGTATGAAAAAATTATGGTTATTTCAGTGAAGAGAAATCTGAAACAGAGTAATTAGGCAGCATCAGTGTTATTTAGCCGACTTAGTTCCAGTTTTCCATGATAAGAACATAAAAATGACTTCCATAATTAAGTAGTGTAGTTATAAATATATTACTTTATAATTTTTACTGTTATATTATAGATTACACTCCTGTTATATTAGTATGTTCACTTGTGAAAATTTATCATGGTGTACACTTATAATTCCTGTACTTTGTTGTCTAAGTGGATATAGAACTTTGCTAAGGAAAGAAAAATCTCACAAAGATACTGTCATATTTAGATACCTTCTCCAGAGAATTCTGTCTAATGTGTATGAATAAACAATGGCATAGATAAACAATAAGGATTTACTGTATAGCACAGGGAACTATATTCAATATCTTGTAATAACCTATAATGGAAAATAATCTGAAAAAAAATATGTAGTGGAATCACTTTGCCATACACCTGAAACTAACACAATCTTGTAAATCAACTATAATTCAGTTAAAAAAAAAAGAATAAACAATGGCAATATTATGAAAACTCTTCTATAGAATAAAAAGGTCAGGTTATGCCTCATCTTGTTTCATGATTTAAGATCACCTTGATATTGAAACTTAACAAGAGCATTATGAAAAAGGAAAGCTATAGTCCTGTCTTGCTCATTAACATAGATAGGAAAAATCCTAAACAAAATACTAGCAGAAAAAAAAAATACACAGAGGGATGATGTGTCATAATCCATTTGGGATAATTCCACAATTAAGGCTGGTTTACTACTCAAAATCAGTGAGTGTAATTTGCCACATTAGCAGAATAAAGGAGAAAATGATACAAATTATCTCAATATATGCACCAAAAGCGTTTGATAAAATCGAACATATATGCATTGATAAAACATTTTAGTAAATAGTGATAGTTTCTGGTTCTCTAGAATTCAGTTTTTCTCAAATTGCCAAACTATTTAAACATAGTAGACATGGTCTGTTTCTGATCATTTCACTATCTGGCTCCCTTTTAGTTGTGTTTTTGTTGTTTACTGTTAGTTCTCATTTATGATGTCTTGACTCCTTGTTTGCTAGAATTTTTAAAAAAGATTTGTAGAAACAGATGTGAGTTTGAGATCTAGGCTTGGATCATCTTAATCCAATTTCACAGATTGAGATTACTTAAATTATTTAAATAAAGGTCACCTGAAATAGCTGTAAGATCCTGATTACTACAGGTTCACTCTTATTTCTGTTGTATGTCCCTTTATGTTTCAACCCAAAGCATGCAGGGAAAGTAGACCCCCTTGAACATGACTACCTAGTTCCACAAGTCTATCAAAAGCACTACTCAGTCTCTTAGAAGCCCCCTCTAGAATCATCCTGTGCATTTAGGCCTAAATACCAGCTCACATGTCTGGATTTCCTTGTTCTCTTGGATTTTGACCTAGTAACTCATCACTGTTTTGTTCAATATTCAGTAACTTCAAGCAGAATTAAAGAAAAATAAACTCCCCGGTTTTCCTACTTGTTTTCATTGGTAGGATTGATCTGATTTACCTAGCCTGTCATTACTGAAAATAGAAAATAAAATTTCTTCTTCTTATTTCTTACCATTTTAATAATTTCTAGGTAATATGATATATTACCATGAGATATATAACATGGAGAATATTTAAAAAGCCATGTAGTATGTGCTCCTTAAGAGAATACTACACTTTCTTTGACAGAGTAATCATTAATATTTTTCTCTCTCTGATGACTGCTTCTCACGTGGCTTCATATAGGTTAACCACTTTGTTATATAGAAGGATTAATTATTAAATTTTTAATTCTTTTTTATGTCTCACATTATAATTGTAAGTATAAATTATATTAATTATATATGTGCTTGGATCTCCTTCAAGGAAATAATCTTTTTTGCCCACCCCGGATTTTCAAATAGCACTTAAAATTCATCTTTCCAAATAATTTGGCTTTCCTTATGAAGAATATAATAGTGGAAAATTCTCTGAGGTCGTATTGAAGGAAGAATTTTAATATTGAAATTGTTCAAATTGGATTATTTTGAAACATTTATTAAAACACTCCCAAACTCATTCTACTAGGCCACCATCACCCTGATACCAAAAGCAGAAAAAGATACAACAAAAAAAATTACAGACCAATATCACGGATGAATATAGGTGCAAAAATCCTCAACAAAATACTAGCAAACAGAATCCAACAACACATTAAAAGGATCATACACCATGGTCAAGTGGGATTTATCCCAGGGATGCAAGGATTCTTAAATATATGCAAATCAATCAGTGTGATATACCATATTAATAAATTGAAGAATAAGAGCCATATGATCATCTCAATAGATGCTGAAAAAGCTTTTGACAAAGTTCAACACCTATTTATGATAAAAACTCTCCAGAAAGGGGGCACAGAGGGAACCTACCTCAACATAATAAAGGCCCATATACGACAAACCCACAGCAAACATCATTCTCAGTGGTGAAAAACTGAAAGCATTTCCTCTAAGATCAGGAACAAGACACAGATGTCCACTCTTGCCACTGTTATTCAACATAGTTTTAGAAGTCCTAGCCATGGCAATTAGAGAAGAAAAAGAAATAAAAGGACTACGAATTGGAAAAGAAGAAGTAAAACTGTCACTATTTGCAGATGACATGATACTATACGTAGAGAATCCTAAAGATGCCACCAGAAAGCTGCTAGAGCTAATCAATGAATTTGGTAAAGTTGCAGGATACAGAATTAATGCACAGAGATCTCTTGCATTCCTATACACTGACAACGAAAGATCAGAAAGAGAAATTAAGGAGACAATCCCATTCACCATTGCAACAAAAAGAATAAAATACCTAGGAATAAACCTACCTAAGGAGGTAAAAGACCTGTACTCAGAAAACTATAAGACACTGGTGAAAGAAATCAAAGATGATACAAACAGGTGGAGAGATACACCATGTTCTTGGATTGGAAGAATCAATATTGTGAAAATGACTGTTCTACCCAAAGCAATCTACGGAGTCAGTGCAATCCCTATCAAATTACCAATGGCATTTTTTTACAGAACTAGAACAAAAAATCTTAAAATTTGTATGGAGACTCAAAAGACCCTGAATAGCCAAAGTAATTTTGAGGGAAAAAAACGGAGCTGGAGGAATCTGACTCCCTGACTTCAGACTATACTACAAAGCCACAGTAAGCAAGACAATATGGTACTGGCATAAAAACATAAATACAGATCGATGGAACAGGATAGAAAGCCCAGAGATAAACCTACACACGTATGGTCACCTTATATTCAGTAAAGGAGGCAAGGATATACAATAGACAAAAGACAGCCTCTTCAATAAGTGGTGCTGGGAAATCTGGACAGCTACATGTAAAAGAATGAAATTAGAACACTTCCTAACACCATACACAAAAATAAACTCCAAATGGATTAAAGACCTAAATGTAAGACCAGACACTATAAAACTCTTAGAGGAAAGCGTAGGAAGAACACTCTTTGACATAAATCACAGCAAGATCTTTTTTGATCCACCTCCTTGAGTAATGGAAATAAAAACAAAAATAAACAATGGAAATGGACAAACGGACTTAATGAAACTTAAAAGTTTTTGCGCAGCAAAGGAAACTATAAACAATATGAAAAAACAACCCTCAGAATGTGAGAAAATATTTGCAAATGAATCAGTGGACAAAGGATTAATCTCTAAAATATATAAACAGCTCATGCAGCTCAATATTAAAAAAACAAACAACCCAATCAAAAAATGGGCAGAAGACCTAAATAGACATTTCTCCAAAGAAGACATACAGATGGCCAAGAAGCACATGAAAAGCTGCTCAACATCACTAATTATTAGAGAAATGCAAATCAAAACTACAATGAGGTATCACCTCACACTGGTTAGAATGGGCATCATCAGAAAATCTACAAACAACAAATGCTGGAGAGGGTGTGGAGAAAAGGGAACCCTCTTGCACTGTTGGTGGGAATGTAAATTGATACAGCCACTATGGAGAACAGTATGGAGGTTCCTTAAAAAACTAAAAATAGAATTACCATATGACCCAGCAATCCCACTACTGGGCATATACCCAGAGAAAACCATAATTCAAAAAGACACATGCACCCCAATGTACATTGCAGCACTATTTACAATACCCAGGTCATGGAAGCAACGTAAGTGTCCATCGACAGATGAATAGATAAAGAAGATGTGGTACATATATACAATGGAATATTACTCAGCCATAAAAAGGAACGAAATTGGGTCATTTGTAGAGACGTGGATGGATCTAGAGACTGTCATACGTAGTGAAGTCAGAAAGAGGAAAACAAATATATCAATGCATATATGTGGAATCTAGAAAAATGGTACAAATGAACCGGTTTGCAAGGCAGCAATAGAGACACAGATGTAGAGAAAAAACGGATGGACACCACACGGGGATAGTGGGGTGGGGAGGTGGTGGTGTGAATTGGGAGATTGGGATTGACATGTGTACACTAATATGTATAAAATAGATAACTAATAAGAACCAGCTGTATAAAAAAAGTAAAGTTAAAAAAAATGAAAGAAACAATTCTATTGAAAAAGAAAAAAAGACTGGATGGGGCCACCTACCCTTCACCTGGGCCTGTGCAAGGGTCTGCTCCATGACCTTTTGAATGTGCAGAGACCTGTAGCTTTGTTATGCCTGTACATTTTTTCCAAATCATTTTCCCCCACGCTTCCCACACTCCCCACACCTCAGACCGCCCTGCTTCTTTATTCTTTATCACATAAATACCCTGAGCCCCTTGCCTTCAGGGAGGTGCATTTGAGATTTGTTCTCCTGTCTTCTTGCTTGGCTATATTGTGAAGAAAACTTCTTTTTGCTACAAACCTCGATGTCTCAGCTTTTTGGCTTCCTGTGTGTTGGGCAAGATGAACCTGGTTTGGTAACATATGTGTGTGTGTATAATTGTTTATGATTGTCAGTTTATTAGTCTCTCCCACTAGATGGTGAATTCCTTGAGGTCGGGGACTATATTTTGTTCATTTCTGTAAACCCAATATGTAGCAGTCAATAAATGAATTCAATAATGGAATAAATGTAATAATGAATTTGGAAAAAAAAAGAATGCTACACTTCCTTTGACAGAGTAATCATTAATATTGTTCTCTCTCTGATAGCTTCTCATGTGGCTTCATATAGGTTAACCACATTGTTATATAGAAGGAATAATTATTAAATTTTTAATTCTCTTTTATGTCTTACATTACAATTGTAAGTATAAATTATATTAATTGTATATGTGTTTGGATCTCTTTAGAGGAAATAATCTTTTTTTTTTTCCTGGATTTTCAAATAGCACTTAAAATTCATCTTTCCAAATAATTTGGCTTTCCTTATAAAGAATATAATAGTGAAAAATTCTCTGAGGTCGTATTGAAGGAAGAAGTTTAATATTGAAATTGTTCAAATTGGATTATTTTGAAATATTTATTAAATCTTGGTCCATATATTCTAGTTACCTTATAACTGTTTTATTTGATTTTTCCTTTTAATGTGTTTTAACCCCAGCGTTGTAAATTGATTTAATAAAAATGCTTCTGTTTTCTCCTGTTATCTGATAACTTCTTAATGACAACTAACAGCTTTTGTGAAAGCAGCACCATTAGTCCTAATGGATAGGGAGGACAACTGATATGGCCTGAGAAAGGTTAAAGATGACTAGTGACCCTTTGGCAAATCTGTCTGCAACAGAACAGAATAAGAACCATGCTCATTTGAATTTTTGGTCACAGTAGATTATCTGACACATTCGTTATAGTCTTATGTTCAGCACTTTACAGTACAGATTAGTTATGTGAATATTCTTGTAATATTCTTCAGATTGTGAGGACACTAGTGCTCCCTGATATGACTCTAACATGGAAACAAATTTCTCCTAGAGGCAAAGGTCTTTACTAATGTAGAAAGCTTCCAGCACCCCTCTCTCACACCCTGCGTTAGACCTTATTTGCAAGTTAATGAGCTATGATAGATAGTACCGTCATGTTACTTACTATACAAAGTAAAGATTTGATGACTGTTAAATTTTGGGTTTAATTTTTTGTCCACTGATAAGAAGACCCAACCAATAGTCCTAAGTTGTTGTTTTTTTTTTTAAAAGCATCATTAACTCTTTCTGTAATATTAGCCTTTAACGCTGAAATATACTACTCTTTTTCCCCTCTTTCTGGAGTTTTTTTCCTAGTTCTCTTCTATTAACTTTTCCCTTTATCTTGTGGTTTGCTTTGGTATGTTACTTCCACTTTCTGTGTGCTCCAGTTATTTTAGTTTTATTCCTTTTCATTGGTATAAGAGCATGAAATAATTAGCTCAAGGGCAAACAGGGAGGATAAACAATTAAAGACTTTAAACCTGAAAGGCATTCCTTTGATAAAGGGATAGCTCCGTTTAAGTGGGAGCATCTCCATTAGCATTAATGGAGTAAGTACATCAGCTGAAGCATCTCAGAGGTTAATCAGGCTTCCTGGCCCGCTTTTGACATCAATATACTGTGGCGCCTGGTTTTGTTGGTCCTTCAGAGGCTTTCTTGACAACACTCTAACAGACTTTGTGTAAGTCATTTCTTGTGAATTATTGAAATAAATGTTTGGCTGCTAATTGAGGAGCACTAATGTGTTTTATAATCACTGCAGTTTGAGTTTTTAGCACTAAACAAAACAGTTACAATTGATTTGTGGCTTTTTCTTGGTTTCAGTCAGCTGTAAGTTATATCATTTTGCTTGAATTCAGCAAATGGCTTTGCTGATTATTTTATTTAAGTATTTATTAGGATACACTATTACGGTTTTCATTTCTCCTTCCCAGTATGCATTTGTGTACTGAATTCATGAAGTGTGTGAGATCACAGGTAGTAACAGGAATAGATTACAAGGCAATACTGGATAGTGGTTTGGAGATAGTCCTGGTTTTGAGTTCTGGCTTTGTCGTTGGCTGGCTGTTTGAGCTGCCATTTTCTTTAACTTCTGTAGCCTCAATTTTCTCTTCTTTAAAGAGTAGAGGTGTTTGAGGATATCTATCCAGATCATTTTTGTTAAAGAGCCTTAACCATTTCTGAGTTCATAATCAAGTTTCCATGGAACGTAGCTACAGTAAAATAATACATATATTATGTATGTTTCTTTTTTTTTTTTTTTTTTTTTTTTT